ATGCCAATCTTCTGGGAAAAGGGGGGTCCTGCTGTAATGCGGATTCAAATTCCTTGCTGGGTATTAGGTTGGTTCTTGCCCAGCTGCGAGCCTGGGCTCAGGCCTCAGTTATTCCCTTCGTTATCGACATGGAATAACTAACGGCCTCCAAATTTCCCCAGACCCCTTCCTTCTCTCTGTGCCTTCCGGGGTCCGGGATTGTCCCCAGCGCATCCTGACCTCCCAGCACCGTGGTTGCGTGCCCGGGCGTGCTACTGGGTGAAATGCGCTGGAATGTGTTGCCACTGCCCAAGAAACCAATATCCAGTACCTTTGAATCCGCACTACCCGCCCCGTGTGACCAGATACTACCACCTTCGCTTGGCCGATACTCCTAGTCCAGTGCGGGCGGGTGGGTTTGCCAGTTCAGCATGGCCGATGGAGAACAATGGGAGGGTGCCCCTTTAAATGCCCTCCGACCAGCCCATGCCCTTTGGCCATCCTTGCATTTGGCCCCTCAACATCATGCATTAATCCAGGCAAGTTGGCAAAGCCACGCCTCGATAATTGGATCCCTTTGGTCCCTCTATCGGCGTGACCATTGTCTATGACTAAGAGTTCATCTACACCAGGAAGAATGTCCAGTTTCCTTCTATGTTTTGTAAACTGGGCCCCTGCTGGTTTCTGATCAAAAAGTGTGCTGCTCATATAGGATATGCCACATCAGTATGATCCATTATCCTGTTGCAAGAGTCCACACTGCACTTCCCAATTGGTTCAATTACTCCTCTTAGTATCACCTTTTTCCTTCTTGCTCTTTTTTTAGAAGTGACCTACCACTCATCTAATATAGCACTAAATTTGACAAACATAATTTTAAAAATATAAAAATGTTTTGGAGTAGCAGAAACAACAGGTGTTTAAGTTGAAGGGAATTATCCTATTGTAATACTGCACTCCACTGAATATGCCACTGTCACCATCAATATAGACCTGCTCCTGACTGCCCCTGTGAACTGAGACAGGTCTCAGAAAATGGTGACAAGCAATGCCATCTGAATCAATACAAAGTAAATCATCCCCTTTTAGCTGAATGAAATGAAAGAAATGCCTATGGAAAAAGGCTAGGCTTCCCTTAACTTTACATTGTGTTGTCACCAGTAAGTACTTTCATATTACCGAGCCAACCCCAACACAAATTGCAATGTAGTCACAGAATAATTTAATTATAGATATTTTTCTCATGCCTCAGTGTCCTTGAGATGACACTTTTTTCCCATTGTTCCTCTGTTAGCTCCACTTCCTGTCTCCTCCATTTTCTGTTCTCCAAAGATAGACATGTCAAGATGCAGCCCCACACTATATTTCCCTCCCCCCTTGGAAAATGAAGAATTATAAATCTGGGTGTTTCTTGTTTAATGGAAGTCTTCATCAGGCAGGAAGTTACACAAGCAAGGAACAGGGAGAACAGTGGAGGGTGACCCAAAAATTTAAAACATATAAAATAAAAATTTGCTTGAAGTTCTAGCCATACAGTCTACATGAAAATATGTAAGTCTCAGCTTTCACAAAGAAGCCAAGCCATATCATTAATTTTAAAACATAAAGTCCAGTGGTTGGCGCGGTCCCTCTCAAGTCTTAAATAAAATCCATTTGTAAAGAGAAACTTTTTCTCTAATCAAAACTGACGGATAATTTGAAGGCATGTTTTAGCCAAAGGAATCAATGGAAGCCAAATTGTGCAGCATGACGTAATGATCTGGTAGCATATACTCTTTGAAAAGCAGAAAAAGAAAATAACCATCCTCTGAATCTAGTTTAGTTCCTGCTCTTGAATGGCTAAGGCTGGCATTCTCCCCAATACCTACAAATTAAAGAAAGTGACATTGGTCCATGCATCCATCATGAGTTTACATCGCTGTGGAGAGGGCTTTTAAGCACCACTAGCTCAGGGGAAACATCTACCACTACAGGAACTTGCTGGAATACAGATGGAATGCACAGAATGTCTTGGCTGTCATGTCCAACTCCAAGAATGATTTATTTATTTATTCTACTTATATCCCACCTATTTGGTGTTGCGACCACTCTAGGCGGCTTACAGAGACATAAACAACAAATAAATATAAACAAAAAGAAATTATTATATCCAATGGCCAGTTCTTCAAGACGGTGAAGAGAAAATAAAAAATAAACATAAAAAGAAAAGAAAAAAGAATCAGATATTAACTGGAGGGAAGGCCTGCCTGAACATCCATCTTTTTAATTGATTTTTTAAAAAATACCCAGCGAAGGGACCGCACGAATCTCCGGAGGCAGATTGTTCCAGAGGCGAGGTGAGAGTATGTATCAGGAGAGGGCCAGGCTGATTTTGCAGGCTTTTTCAAGTATCAGTGCTTACTGCATCACCTGTTCTGACCCATTGCCATTCAACAATCTGCTTTGCTCCAGGTGGCTTGCTCTGGTTGTAGCTCTTTTCTTGATCAGAGGTTCATGCTTGCATAGGGGATCTGTCTTCTTGGCATCACTCATATTGCAGATTTACCAGTTATTCTGAAAATGGATCCTGACACATGCCACTAGTACTACTTGCCAGGGGGGGGGGAGGGGGAACCATGAAATCCCTGACCTAGCACTCCCAAAATGTATATGATTGCAAAGCCTATATCCACCACCCAGTGGGCAAATGTGAACTCAACAGAAGGAGCAATAGGTCTCAACTTTGCTTTTGATGTACCTTGGAGAATGCCAGCTTTAGCTGTCCAGGAGCAGGAACCAGAGCTAAAACCAGAGAAATATGATTATCTTCCAAAGAGAAAGACTTCCCAACAGCCAGAGCAACAAAGACCATTGAAAACTTCTGCCTCTCCATGATTTACTTCACCTTGTTTAACTTCTTACCCACCTTGGCTTGCCTTTCCTCTCTTCACCTTGCCTCACAGGAAATGCTGGGAGTCCCACCAGGAGGGAGCTTTCTCTTTGCACCATGTCCTCAGTCAGCATCTTCCTGAAGATGCTATTTGCCCTGTAAGGTAAAAATACATAGTCACCATATGATACTCATATGGTTTCACTCTCCTTTACTGTCAGCCTCTTTCTGTCAGTCTCTTTTCAATATACACGACTGCCATGAGACTCTTGTTCAGCCTCCTCTTCTGCTGCTGTTATCAACTTTTTTCCTATTCTGTTTCCTATTCACAGACCTCCTGTGTCATATTTTATAATATGCCCCTTAACAGTTCCTTTAAAAGATGCACAAGAGCAATCTGGTTTTCCTAAGGCAGTTGGAATGATGTTGCCATTGAGATTACATTGACTTCAATCGCTGGCCGTCCCTATAACGCCTGCTCATGTCATACTATATACTTTGAAACAAATTATTATAAAGCCCCTGTGTGTCTTCCATAACCTCTTCCGCTGGAGGAAACAAACACTACCAAGGAGGAAGAGGAGGAGGAGCTTTGAGCTAGGTGGTACAAAAATATGAGAAGGGTAACAAAAAGAACTCACAGAAGTCCCCAAATTAGGTTAGAGGTTGCAGTCTGAGGTTTGCCAGTAGACTCAGTTCTAAGATGCAGAATGCAGATTAAATTGATCACTGGAGGAGAGGCAGGTATCAGGTCTAGCAATTCTAGCAGTGGTAGCTGGGACAAAGGAGCAAGAAATGGCTGATCCTCTGTTTCTAAATAGGCAGCAGTTCAGATAAGAGACCCTTGTTTTTAGCTAAGCACACCGTTCTCACAAAAACAAAGATACCTCTACTAGCCTTTAAGGGTGGGGTCCACTTTGAGCCATCTTTTAATTGGGGTCAGTAAGTTTAGAAGGGAAATGCAATGTTCAACATCCCTCACAAAAAGGGAAGCAAAAGTTTACATTTTTAAAATGTAGGAAAGCTGGGATTTTGGAGGCCAGCCAACTGTAGGGTACAAGTAGGAGATCTACTGTCAGGAAGCTGCTGGTGAAAATACCACACATGTGATAAAGTTCAAATCATTCCACTTTCTTCTGTTCAGTTTAGGTTTATGTGAATGTAACAAGTCTACAAAGGTTATGGCTTTTTGCCCTGACTATAGGCATAACCCATTCCCACTCATTCTTACACAAAAGGGCATTTTTCACCAGAACATCCAGACTTGTCTGACAAATAATACAGTTTAACAGAAGAAGCAGAATACAAGCCAGCTGTCTGTGAAACTGCCTGTCCCCAAACATCTGTTGGATATCCGAGTGAGTTATCTACAAAACAACAGGAGCTGGGTTTTCTCGCATCCCAATCTCATCAAAATCTGCAAATGTCAAAAGAATTGCATATGGAGCACAGTGCTTTTCAAAAGGTGGGAGAGAAGCCAGGGAGCAGAAGATTGAAAACCAACAAACAATGGTACTTTCTTTAAATGATTGTTGGAGGCAAGGAAGGCATGCTCTGGGTGATGCCAGCTGCAAAACTCAGCAAAGACCTTCTGCTTGACACTGCTGTTTTAATCAAGCCTGTCCAGCCATCTCTTGAAGAAGCTTCCAATATTTTTCAGCAGTTTTTTTCCTCTTGGTGGTATTAACTTTTTCAAGGGTATTTGGAACATTATCCCTCCTGTAAGGCAAGCTCTTTTCTGCATAAAAACAAGTGTATGCATGGAGATCTATAGGTCATTATACTGGACAATATCATGGACCAAACCTATACAGGAAACAGTATCACATGCAGTACACATACTCTCAAACATATATGTGATGATTGGCACACAGTTTTCATTCTTTTACCAAGCAAGGTGGAAATGTGTTTTAGTTCAGAAGGTTCCAAGCAGCCCACACCCGGCAACAGATTTTGTTTCCTTCAATGTCAAGGATGTGTCTCCCCCCCAACAGCACACATGGTTGTTGTCTCCCGTTAATGCCCCTCAGCACAGTTGCGTCAGCTGTTGGCTGGACTTCATAGATTCCTGCCAAGAATTTCTAAGAAGGTCAGGTGATACCTCATGTTCCATTTCCCTTCCTGCTCCTACACCCCGACTCACATACTGAGGTTGGGCTTCTTAGCAAGACTGCATTATTGCAAGGAAACCGAACAGATCAACATCCCTGCTAAATTTGGGATGCTCACAAAACCACTGTAGCTGGTGCAATTGTGAAGGTACAGCTAGGTGAGTAATCACTTGGGGTATCATATCAATACTTGTGTGCATGCATTAATCAATGGCTGTTTGTTACAGAGAGAAATGCTTAGTTTTGTTCTGAAAGCATATGCAGGCTGTCAAGGGTGATCATTAAACTTTAGAGTGTTTTCAGGATTTGGATCTGAAAGGGGCAGACTTGGGCATCAAAAATGAAATGGCCTGAATGATAGGCTCTACCAAGTTGAACAATGCTCTGCAAAAGGTAGCCCAATTCCAGTTTTTCTTACAGGGAGTTGGGACCTTCTTGAGATGTGGTCCTAGTTCTCAGGGCATGTGTTCTTCAGCCACATCTGTACATTGTTCCCAAGGAGGGACACAGTGGGCAAATACTTGCCTGTTGGTTTCATAGGATAATTGCAATTGCCCAGAAATACTGAAGGTTTTTTCTTGTGTTGTCTACATACCTGGTAAGGGGAACCCAAGTGGTGACTTCTGTTCAGGCCTTTGGGGGTCTGGTAAACTCTTGTGATGATTGCATGGTGGCAACCTTAGGGAAGGACTGAACTGACTATATCCCATCAAGTTTGAGGTTGCAGATCCAACTGAACAGTGGTGCAGGCCACATGGAAAGTCTTTGGTGTTATGCAGTTAGTGATCAGTTTTCCCATTAAAAACAGAAATATCATCTACCTGAGGTGTCCAGCTGTGGGAAGGTTTTGGCCAATATGTTTTAAGGACTCTCTAGAGAAATTGCCACTGCCTTTGAGATGAAGCATGCTTTGTGATATAGCCAGACAAGCTGCTATCTGCTAACCTTACATAAATCTGCCAACCATCCCCTGTTCATATTTCAGACAGAGGCAGTGCTGGAGGAGGAGGGAACGAAGCAAGCACCGTCATAGACAGTTTGCTCCCTCTCTCTCTCGGCTCCCACCGCTGGACTCCTCTGGTTCATTAAAGGAAGAGTACTTTCCGGATCCACTATATTTGTGAGCATCCCCATTGTAAGAGTAACTCTCCTAATCAGTTAAGTCCCGCATCAGTGCGACACTGATGAAGTGTTTAAGAACACTGTTGTGAAATATAATTTGATTTATTTTCCAAAAAGCTGACGTAGGGGTCTCCCCAGAAATGCACTTTGCCAACCCCAAATTCAGATCACAATTTGTTTTATGGAAACATTGTTCAAAACTATTAAGAAAGAGGAAGAGGAAACCTATCTTGCTGGAAAGACTTTTCCATAGTAACATGTCACAGTCCAGTTCATTCTAGGTTGTACCCTCATACAAAGAAAGGTCACCACAAGGAGAGTTACGGTATTTGTATATCTGGATCAGATACAGTACATTGTGGCTGCAACTAATTTCTTCCCCTCAGTTAGCAAAAGCTGAGCACAGATTTCATTTTCCAGAGCAGAACGGGCCCAGGTCCACAATGATAGCTGAAAGGCAGAGGTGTTTGATTGAGGTGATCGGAAATAACATGTCTGCCAAGTTCTAGGGGTGGTGCAGAAGAGGTGGGCTTCAGCCCTGCTCCTAAGATATCGCCATTCAGCCAAATACATCTTTGGCTGGCATTTTATAGAATGTTATTACTGCATTGAACATTTAAATGAGATATATATCACCACCTACAGATCTAGTTTTGGATGACAGTACAGTTTATACCTTTTAAAAATAAATAAATGAGAGGGACACAGCCGTAGAATATTAACTAAAGGCACACAAGACACCAGCCAAGGCAACAGCAGCGCTCCTATTATCCCGGATGCCCAAGCAATCACAGGCAAGTGATACAGCACTTTAGCAGCCTATCAATCCTGGCTAACGCAGCTCCCATCCTTCCTGCCTGCAATCCTCCAGCTTTGCAAAGCAGCCCTATAAATCCTTCATCAAAACAAACAGTATCTTTGCCTCTTATACATGAGGGATGCTGGGACCAGCCATAAACTTTATGAACATCATATTCTTTCAGGAAAGGAAATACAAGATTAAAAGGGCTCAGGGTTTGTGCACACAAGGATTTATGGCATTGGTGTTGGGACTTGGCTATTCACCGAGAATGAAGCTTTTCATTTGCAGCACTCTGTCACCCAGGACAGTTATTCTTTCAGATGAGGAAAGTGGAGCAAAAGCGGGCTTAGAAATACACAGAGGACTAATGCTACATCCCAGTCATTGCACATGAAATGTCCGTATGGAAACACATATAAAGAGCTTACTAAAGTCTGCCAAATCTTTCCCAATATCTGTAAGAAGTTTTTTTTTTTATCGTAAAGCAATGCATGTATAAAGCAGCAGAGTGCGCTGTGTACAGATAACTCACCAGCTGTCATTGGGAAACTGAATTGTGCGAAGAGAAAAGAGAAATGCTCGTTTTAGTCAGTTAATTTGAGGGAGGACAGAGGCTGTGTGGCTTCCCGGAGTTTTCTTTCAGAACAGCCTTTATGCTAAATTTCTGACAGCAAAGCTTGAAAGGTGCTTAAATTTAATACTGAACACTGGTAAAAACTATTTCAGGAAGCCCTGAAGTTTGCAAGGAGATCATCCACCATATTTTTGCTTTTATTTTTGTTTTGTTTTTGATAGATATGTTGAAGCAGCCTAAGAAGGACTCCTTTTTTTAAAACAAACAAACAAAAAACTATGCTTTTGCCCTAAGCTTCAGAGAGCAACTACTTCACTATTTTATTCTCCTTGAGCCATTGTGACGTGCCCTCTGTTGTTTGCAACTTTTCTATTTAAATTAACTGTCTCATCATATTGCTTGTGAGTCCTGTTTGGTGCTTTGGCAAAGAGCATATGCACCCAAGGGGCTGTTATGTTACAGGTAGTAGATGTTTTTAAAGGATGGCACTGATTGCTTCAGACAGGAGTCAGTCATTTTGTCAAAAGGGAGGAAAAAGAAGGAGGAGAGGCCAAAGAAAATGTTACAAGAGTAAACAAAACCATTTGATTGGCTGACCGCAGGAGTGCAGAATCTGGGGTACTCCAGATAATGTTAAGCTACAACTTCCATCAGCCTTAGCCAACAAAACCAATGCTTAGGGTTCTAACCCAATGGCATCTGGAGGACCAAACATTCACCATTGCTTACTTTATTGCTCCTGAAAGAGGCTGCCTGTGGTATCCCATCCAGCTATTGATGTCAGCACTGAATGTCGGAACTTGGAAGAAACCGCAGGTTCAGAAATGGAACAGAGGAGATCAGCTTGGCCGTTCCACTACGTAAACAAGTATACATACCCACAGGCATACAGGTGATATCAGCTCCTCAAAAAGTCTCAGCATGTAAACTAGGGTGGGTGTCATGCCAGCTACCTGTGGCCCTTTCCTTTTCTTGTGGATGCTGAAGCCTGCCAATAATGCCCCCCAAAAAAGGGAAGTGGAGAAAGATTCTCTCTCCCAGATACCTCAAATTGCTTGTTTTGAGCAAAATAATGAAGTGGACTTTCAGTTACTTCTGCTACCCATTGTTGGTGGCATACACAGCAGTAGCAAGTGGTAGAATACATGATGGGTGGAAATAAAGGGAGAACAGGCCCCCAGACCCATCCACTTAGATATAGACCCATTGATATTCATATGGATGGTATGTGAACTGGTAGAGTAAATATTTAAGCCACTTACATAATTTGAAACATTAATCATGTAATGAGTGATCAACAACACTGTAGGAATGTTTGCATGTTTGATTATTATTAATGGCAAATATAGGTTCCTTGAGGGGGACGTGGTGGCGCTGCGGGCTAAACCACAGAAGCCTGTGCTGCAGGGTCAGAAGACCAAGCAGTCATAAGATCGAATCCACGCGACGGAGTGAGCGCCTGTTGCTTGTCCCAGCTCCCACCAACCTAGCGGTTCGAAAGCATGCAAATGCGAGTAGATAAATAGGGACCACTTTGGTGGGAAGGTAACAGCGTTCCGTGTCTAAGTCGCACTGGCCATGTGACCATGGAAGATTGTCTTTGGACAAAACGCTGGCTCTATGGCTTGGAAACGGGGATGAGCACCGCCCCCTAGAGTCAGACACGACTGGAAAAAAAAATGTCAAGGGGAACCTTCACCTTTACCATAGGTTCTTTCTGACCTTAGCCTTTGTAAGAACAGTAATCAAGAGTATGAACGTTGCCTGAATAAGAACTAGGGTCATCAAAAGCAAAAGAGGGGCATGGATCTGAATTGTTAGTACTTGTGAGCAAAAAGACTTTTGGCAAATGTAGTTTCTCATAACAAGCTATACTTTGAAGTTTCCTCTTCAACAAGAACGTAAAGAGCTTCATAGGACCCCATGCTTGTTTGCATCTTGCCCTCAGTAAAAGATCTCAAATCTAAACAGTTTAATATGTAGTCAAGCATATTAATAATAATAAATGTTTTATTACGGTCATTGACCAGCAAAAGTATGGAACATTATTTAAATAAGGAGACATAAAATCAATCTAGAAACACTAAAACATCTATATACATATATATAACACTACATTCATACATCTTATTAAATATCTCCTGCCTCCCTATCATAGGCCTTATCTATGGGCTATTGCAGCTTGCATAGAATGACAGAAATTGGCATATTTGTTTTCTCTGGCTGCTGCTTAAGTCACAAAGTACAGAAACGACTGCATACATCTCCTGCATACATCCTTGCCCTCTGCTGGCTGAAGTAAACATCTTTTCTCCTGTTTGGGTGATAAACCAAACTACAGTATTCAGAATTGATAGTTTTATAATATCTGAAAGACCTGATCATATATTCACATTTATGGTAACTGTTTCTAGGTTGTATTAAAGTATCAAGCAAATAATAATTCAGTGTGTACTGTATTGCATTTAAATCTAAAGAAATAATTTCCTATGTGAGAAGCTGTTGATGACTTGGGTATTGCCAGACCTCAGAATATACTTTCCGGACACAAATTCTAGAATCCCCCAACTAGCATGGTCAGTGGGAGCTTCTGAAACTTGTAGTCCAGATAGCTCTTCTGAGTTCTAGAGCAGTGGTTCCCAACCTTGGGTAACCCAGGTGTTCTTGTACTACAATTCCCAGATGCCTTTACTACCAGCTATGCTGACTGGGGCTCTGGGGAGTTTTAGTCCAAGAACACCTGGGTTACCCAAGGTTGGGAACCACTGCTCTAGAGAATGAACCTTATACACCACAGTTCAAGAAGCTGTTCTGTTGCTTTCTGGATGTTTTGGCATGCCACTCTGATCAGCCCCCTCCCCAGCAGAGCCAATAATGAGAAATTATGGGAATTGTAGATTAAAACAGCAGGTAGGTACAAGGTTCACATTCTGGCTGTGCAGTATACAGTGGTGCCTCACTAGTCAATGATAATCCGTTCCACTGAAATCGCTGTTTAGCGAAATCATTGTCTAGTGAAAAGCATTTCCCCATTGGAATGCAATGAAACCTGTTTAATGCATTCCAATGGGGAACAATCGTTGTTGTCTAGTGAAGATCGGTCATAGGAAAGCAGCTTTGTGAACCACCGATCAGCTGTTTAAATCACTGTCTTGCAAAGCTTAGGTCCTGAAAACACCTGTTTTGCGAGCACAGAGGGAGCTGCCAAATTCGTCGTCTAGCGAAAATCAGTTTGCAAAGCAGGGACCAAACACTGTCCAGTGAAATTCCCCCATAGGAATCACTGTTTTGTGAATCGCTATAGCGATCGCAAAAAGTCAATGTCTAGCAAAAAATGTTATGCGGGGTAACTGTCTAGCGTGGCACCACTGTATATCCCAAGAGATGAGGAAGTGAGATACATCACTCTTACAATGGCATGACAGTTTCCAAAAAAATTGAGTGAACAGTGGAGGAGGCACAGACCCTGATTTCATTAACCTGCCTGGCTGGCCATTTAGAGTTCTCTTCTTGAGTCCCACTAAAGTCAATGGATTCTAGAGTACATATAAGGGATTTCCACCAACTGTTTGCCGACAATAAAGAAACACCATGTGTTGGAAAGTCAGAAGGCCAGAAAACTACTGAACTCCATCTATGTACAGAAATCCACTGATGGAGTTCTGTGGTATCTCCAGCTTGCCATAGCACAACTGAGGATTGCCCTGGTGGAATTAATGGGGGTTTCACTGGAGTAGTAGGTACTAACAGATGCCTCCCTGAGCAAGCCTGGAAAATGATAAGCTGCTTACAGAACAGGCTGTCATATTAGGAGTTTGACTAAAGAGGTTCTGATCCCACCCTTTGAATGAACAGCATTTGAGATAGACTATCTCCTGGAAACAAAAGATATATTTGGGCTTGCTAGCCATTTACCTCAGTAGGGCTCCTGTGCCTTGAAAAGTGGCTTAGTGAATAGGAGGTAATTGCCTCATAACAGCTCTGGTTCATGTTGGGACTGCCTGTGTTCCATGATGTTTACAAGGATGCAGAAACCAGTGCAAAGCAACCAGATCATCAACCTCCACAGGAACATCCAGAGCACTGCTTGTGACCTTCTACTGTCCAAGGAATAGGCCTTTTTCATCACCTGCACAGAAATGAAGTGTGGCATGAATGCTATACAGTATTTGTGAGGTGGCAACATGGGGAGAGCAGTGAAAGACAGAAACATTTCCTGCCCCATCCATATTTCCTAAACAAACCTCTGATCAAGACATTCTACATCCATCTAGTAGGCATCCTTCAGTCTCAAGAGACTATGATAACGTGCTCTGAATAGAGGACTTGGACCAGTGTCTAGTGTGGCTGAGGAAGCCACATCCATCAGCACTTGGACCTGCATGAATCTTTTCCTTTTCATTGTACACCCACAAGTCAGAACATGTTTTGGATCATTCAGAAGGTCAAACGAGGCCCTGGCTTATGACTTCATTACTCGTGTTGACTGATGGTGGAATGTCCTGATCTTGAGGTTCCTTTAGGAAAGATTGGTAGCAGGGGGGATTCCCTGAAGGAAAGATGGGTATTGCTTTTGCTAACACCATGGTGTTAAAAGGTGACAAATATCCTGTGAGGGGTTTCCCAAGAGCCTTACTAATAACCCTGTTGGCCGGGAACATGTTGGTCTCGGGCTACCTCAGGGAAAGTCAAAAAGCACATTAGAAGCAGTTTCCTGGTAAACAAACTGGGATTATTCTCTTCACCTGCAGTCTCTTTAGCAAGGAGAAAAGGCTTCTTATTATATAACCTGGTGTTGGCTGACAGCAGAAATTATTCTGCCCAGCCATGATCACCCATACAATCTAAACTGGGTCACCTTTGGATATATATTGCCGGTCACAACTTACACCGTGTCACCAAAATAGTTAAATGAGCATTCTCTTCTTGGATAATATGCAGACTTTTCTGGGTCATTATATCACTTGATTTATGCTTTTGATTTACAGAGAACTGGGCATTCCATGTTAATGCCCAACAGTTGTAAGAATGGTGCTAGACAGGGGAGAAATAGAGGACATGAAACTATTTACATTTTTCTCATTTGCTGAATTTGTTTTTTTTTTTTTATATATTTCAGTTCTCAAAGGATTACTAAACAACTAGAAGGCATATGCCTTTTGGATCTGAGCTCACCTGCTGGCACATAGGCCCTCTAGCACCTTCTGATTCCACCTGAAGAGACCCAAAGAACGCTGTTCTGTCAACTGGGGCTTAGCATCCTACAAGAGAAAGAGTCCGGTAGAAAAAGTTGGATCATGGTGGTGCAGAACAATTTGGACCTTGGGGACACTAGGAAAGGCATCCTCTTGGAGCCATTCATCCATCAAGTTGGGGGCCATATGAGCATGATGAAGTATGATGACCACACTGTCTGCAAGCCCCTGGTCTCACAGGAACAATGGTTCTATGAATCTCTCCCCACGGCAATGAAACGATTTACCCCTCAGTACAAAGGTAGGCCCAAGTCTCTAGCCTTATGTGTACTTATTAAGAAGCAAGCTCTACTGAACTCTGGGTAAAGAGGATGAGGACGAGGATGCAAGCTTCAAAGCTAAAGAGGAAAAGGATCTGCACCCTGTCTTTGATGCTGATAACAAACATGGGATGCCATTTGTCCTTTGCCAAGTACTAAGCCATAACTCAAAGGGCATGTGGGAGAGGAAGCAGCAGCTGTGGCAACAAGCCTTGCAAAGAATGTATCTTGGTGGAACAATCCACCAGTGATGCTATAAAAAGATTCCTAATGCTGCTGCCTGCAGTTTGCAAGCAGAACTAGCCATTGTCCAATGCATGGTTACAGGGACAGCCTTGTTATCAGGCAACATGATGCAGCCACCGCAGATAGCAGACATTAAGTGCCATAAGGGGAAGGAAAACAATTTTAAGTTATTTAATTTTAGTTGTTTATTCTTGTGTTTCTGTTGCTGGGGGTGGGAAGAGGGTGCTTATGGAATTTTCTGCCTCATGTACCAAAGTACCTTGGCTAGCCTGTTCATCTTGCCTTGGGTTAGGAGAAGGTGCCATGTGTTGAATTTGTTGCAATATCAAAAGCAAATAAAATGCGGGCATGATTTAGTGCTTAGAAATCATTCAAAATATGCTTCTTGTTAGATTGGTTTAAAGCACTGGTTCTTAACCTTTGTTACTCAGATGTTTTTGGACTGCAACTCCCAGAAGCCTTCACCATCAGCTCTGCTGGCTGAGGTTTCTGGGAGTTGCAGTTCAAAAACACCTGAGTAACAAAGGTTAAGAACCACTGGTTTAAAGGATGATCTTGGAGGCTTATAGTATAGGTTACAAGAATGGAACTGAGACCCTGTGCAAACATAAGTGTAGCTAAAATATTTTATGTGAATGGAAAACAACTTCAGTCATAAGCAATGTGAGCAACATATTTCCTCTACCAGTTTTCAGATAGTCCTTGTATTGATTTATTGCTTTGCATGGCCGTCTCTAGGATCTACCGTCCAGATCAGCGGTTCCCAACTTTGGGTAACTCAGGTATGCTTGGACTGCAGCTCCCAGATACCCCAGCCAGCACAGTTGGTGATGAAGGTATCTGGGAACTGCAGTCCAAGAACATCCCAAGGATGGGAACCACTGGTCTAGGAGATTCTTAGAAATATTGTGGTGAGAAAAGGAAAGATAATCTGACATTTCATTTTAGGCATCTTACAACTTAAGATACATGGTAACATGTTTGAATGGTGCTGAGACAGGAAAAGAGGAAATATTTGGCTTCTCAGCAGTGTCAAAGTGTCAGTAGAGGATGTTACAGAAGAAATAGAAAAAATAAAATAACTTTTTAGTAGTATCATATACCATCAAAAACGTTTTAGAAAAGATGGGGTTAGTTATGCTGCCGTCAGTGCTTAAGAACTGTTTGGAAGTTTTACAATGAGGTTTGATATTCTGGTACTTCTCACTTTGTTTTAATGAGGCTTTGTTAGAATAACGCAAAATGTGCTGGTTCTATACTGCTCCATAGTGCTTAAAGGACTCTCTGGATGGTATACAATTTAATTTTGCAGACTACACATTGACCCCCAGCCAATAAGCTGAGTACTCAATTTACCAGCCTCTGAAGGATGGAAGGCTGTGTCAACCTCAAGCTGGCTACCTGAGCCCATAAAGATTGAACTCAGGTTGTGAGCAGTCCTGACTGCAGTACTGCAGTTTGACCACTGTACTATGAGGCTCTTCTAGGGTGAAGAACAGAGTGCCAGACACAGGTAGGTAGGCAGAAAGACAGACAAATAGTGCCTCCCAGGCCAGACTAAACAAGAATGAACAAAAATCTGTGAATCCAAAACTAGGTCATCATCCAGCCAGTAATGTCCGATGGCCAGAATGCCACAGTGCTATGTCATCTTTCCAGCAGCACCTGAGGGGTATTAAAAACATAGATAAACACCATATATATACAGAGGGGGGAAAGGTGTCACTTTTCTAATTAAGAGATTTATTTCAGTCTGAGCATTCGCGGAGTACAATTTACAATCTTTAGACTCTGCATTTCTTTTGCTTTTGTTATACATGTTGAAAAAACTGGCATAGCTACATTTGTAAAAACTGCTGTGAAGAAAAAGTAGGAGGAGAATGGTAGGCAAAAGAGGTGGGCTCAACTTATTTTGAAAGATACTGAATGACGAAGCAGAAACCCATTTCCTACTGGTTGGCAAAGCCTCCAAAGATCTCTCCTGTTCATTTTTCCCAGTGACACTTTAGATATCTGTGGATAGCTAGCTCAGTGGCTGTGATATGTGTCTGTAACTCAATCCATCTGGAATTCATGGTGTTTTATTTCTAGTTAAGGAAACCATCTGTGCATGTTTCGCTACCCATCATGAGCTTCTGCCTCCTAGATTGAGAAAAACAAGCTTATAGCTGTGTATCAACAGGAGTGCTCATTGCTGGTAAAATATGTATCCAACAGAAATGTTTACTTCCAGGGGTGGAAGAGCAGGTGCTCACTGGGACAGCCCCTACTATGGCCTCCTGCCCCATAAGGAGAATCCAGACATACAGGCTGTTGGATCAGTGCATATCAACAATTAAGAATCAGCTCTTTTGTAAAGTTAATGTGTCTAAATTGCCCCTTCAAGAATACCCCTTGATCCCAATACTGCACAATAAGGATAGCGAAGCCCAGATTCACATTAGTGCTTTGTGTGATGTGGATGTGACTCCTGAAAAATGTCCAGTGTAAAATGCATCTTTATTGTCAACTGAGTCAACACTACTAATTGATAAGGACACCTTTGTAGGCTTTCAACTTAGTCATCCATTCCTATGTAGAGTGGCCATTCCTATGTAGAGTGGCCATAGACCACAACCATCATCATCATCATCATCATGATTAGTCCTACTTTACAGTCCTCCCAGCAGGTTGGGCAAAGGAGAGTCCTCTATTTGAAGCCATCCTCACTTTGAAGGGCCTTCCTGTCCAACTGTTTTAAAAACAGAGAACCATGAGAAGGGAGAACAGATGGTGCCTTGATGTAGCCCATCCACAGTTAGCACCAGGTCATCTGATTACAGTATTGTGCGCTATGGTGGGACAAATTGCATTTTTATTTAAATGACACCCATTATTTCTAAGTCAGCATCTATAACATTAATGGTGTACCTTTCTCCTGGGTGTTGTGGGACTAATTCTCTTAATAAACATCAGAAATACATTTTGTAAGGCTTTGCATTTTTAAAACAGATTGCTAAAAAAACACACACACAGTTCAAACATAATCCAAGATGGATTATTTATATAGCAGGAGAGACCTCCCGCCTGAATTTCATACACCAAACCAAAGAGTCTGCAGGAGTAGCTTGAAGATCTGTCCAACGTATTTTTTTTCCCCTCAAGTCAGTGAATCTGTCTCAGTGTGTTCCAGTGTATTCCTTTTCTCATACATTTTATCACAAAGAACCCAATAATTCCAACAGGCAAAACTATAAAATAAACGACAAACACAGTATATAATACTAGTAAAAAGAATTGTGCACACATAGGTTGAAATGCTGTTACCTGCGATAAGGTCTAAATTCTTGCTTCCTAGGGAATAGCAGCCCCACTCCTCTCCAGCTCTCCTACCCCTGCCCCTCCACTTCTTGCTCTAAACCAGTTTTTTTTTACAAGCACAGCTTTTTTCTTCAGAATTTCCACCAAAAGGCTACACTAGCTAGTCCATAGAGCTTACATTATCTACCAATTTTCTGCAAGCCTGTGTCCTATTTATTTATTTTTTTTTTTTTGCAATGTTTCCTGTCTTTATTGGCAAAGGATATGGAAGCACCTTAGGTATATGATGTGTCTGACTCCAACCAACATGTTTCCATTTCTTTGTGACTGACTGGCACTGAGCTTTCATAAAATACCCTGAGCCTGTTTTAGAAGCCCCTTCATTCCATGGCTCAGCAATTATTTCACCTGCTGTTAATGACACCGCAAGGGTTTCTCAGCAGAACAAGATGTGCAACATAGTGAATGTGATCAGGAACAAACTCACTTGGGGGGGGGTTGCAATGTAAAAACTATTCACTGAACATCTCTTGTTTGTCACAAACTTGATTAGGGTTGTCATAACTTCAAAGTGATTTGACGGCACATAGCAACCACTACTTCTGAAAGAAGTTCAGATACTTCAGCGAGTAACAAAAGGGCTGAGATGGGTGGTCTGAGGGCCATGAAGCCAGTAACTGACTTATTCACTTGCTATGAGTCTAATTATATAGACTCATAGCAAGGTAAACTATGAGGTAAAGTTTGGGGACTTTTAGCCCTTCATGATTTGGAACAAATAACTTAAGGATTACTTGCATGTACAGTACTTCATATCATTATTACTCAATATCATATTATAGGGACTGCTTCACAAGGCTTTAATGAATGTGGTGAAGTCAAAAAATTTAGACTGTGAGTTCAGAATCCTCTAGTCAGTAGTCATACTGTGTTTTTTTTTTAATTTTTTTAAGCTCTGAGTGAGTTGCAGTGGGTTGATAATAAGAGAAGTGTAATTCTGTGGGGATTATAAAATATATTCACCAGTAGGACACATCTGTTGCCTATCTTAATACAGGCTTTCTTCAGTAAAATTTCTCTGTCATTTTGTGTGAATAGTCCATATAGATCAAAGACAAAATGTACTTGGAATAATATATCTGTGCCTTCAGACATAAACATTGCCTGCAGTCAATAGTTTAACAAAATGGGATCAAAGAAATGAAATATCAATATGTGTAATGCAATAAGAAACTCTTCAAGTTCATCTCTTCTAGCAAATGCTTTCCTGCCTCAAGTAGAAAGTTCTTTCACTCGCTCCAATTAGTTTTTCTGATAGTAGTTAACAAAAGTTCAGCTTCCTTGCTTCTTCAGCTGTTGCTAATTAATTTTGAAGTAGTAACCATAAAGCAATTGAAGAGAAGTTGCCCTAACTAAAACTCCTTCCACTTCCCCC